AGTTTTTTTGAGTGCATAACCTTCATTAAATAATGCAGATCGAGAAGGATCTCTGAAAATCGAGAACATATCATGGAAGTCAGTTCTCTGAGGCGAACTCCCTCTTACTTATTAGGCCAAGAGACTTATGCTAAACTTGAGGAATTTTGCCAAACATAATATCTAGTTAATCACTTATTTGGGTCATTAACTATCATCTTTTTTCCTATAATCACCTATTAATTGAGCAATTTTTTGAACAGTTGTTCCCGAATGTTATTGGTGGTGAAGTTGTCCCTATTCCTTTTTTCTACAATCTCCCACTCCATCCCCCATCCAATTAGTTCAGTTGGTCGTCTCAAAAGACTTTTCTACGAATTCATATTGTGGGCCTGCTAAATTTTGGACGACGTCAACAATGGAATTCATCCACTATTTGGAACTTTTTATCTACCACTTCGCTATAGAATTCTTTACATTTTTAATCCCTTCGAATGCAGATTGGAACCATCGCGCAACGTTGTCCAGAAATGAGAGCACTATTTTCTTCTTGGAGCTCGCGAAGAACATTTACAACTTCTCAACTATGCAATGCCAGTCTGAGTCGGTTATTTTATATTCAACTCTTCTCTTAACCTGCCCCTTATAAGCAAATTCGCAAATTTCTAAAAAAATTATTGGATCAAGGGTTCCTGTCTGCAGCAGTTATGGTACGTGATCTATTCAATTAGTATTTATGCAAATAGAAGATGAAAAACACTCACAAAAGACCAAACGTTGGTATTGCAGACCAAGCACATCCTCCTAATGCTGTTCCCCAGGACCAAAGATTCGCCGTTGCGACTAGGCTAGGTTCGGTATAGATATTTGTAGGGTTGAGCAAGTCCAGAGCCACTACCAGTGGCTTTGAAAGATGAATGGGGTACATGTAGTTGCCTTAAACAATTGTTTTTTTTTTGCTCAGTCAGAGTTAAGTTTGCTGTTAGATACTTACCGTTTACATCTTGCGGAGTTGCGTTGTAAAATTGAACAGGTCCATTACTACATTGCCACCATATAAAATTAGTATCCGTGCCATTCGGCCACAGCATGTTACAAGCAAAAGCAGGACTTATTAAGAAGAGTAAAAAGACGAGTACCGAATTCATTCTGAATCACATTAATCAATTACTATTACGTTGTACAATCTTGTATAGTGTGAAATAGAAAGAATAAAAAATTTTAAGCAGTAAGGTGCGTGACTTTTAGTTGGAATTAAATGAAATTACTCCCAGCTACCCAATTTCTAGAAATGGCGGTAAGAAGCGATCCCTACTTTCAAAAAGGTTTAGAATTGGGCCCATATGAGTTTTCAACGTCAACATTTTTGGTTAACTACTAACACTTCTGTCAGCAGGCAATTTTTATTGCAATCATTTTAGCTGCAGAGATTATCCAAGCGTTTTTAGCATCATCGTGTTATGCTTATTAATAATTACAACCTCCTAGAAACTTGATATAGTGGATATACGAAGCAGTTGAAATTTTTTGTATTCAATAGATTCCACAAGCATCACAGTCTCATTTAAAAAACTCTGCAAGACAAACATCTCAAATACTGCCTTCATTAGAGAGTTGTTCAAAAATGAACTTTGACGGCTTTGACGACAGCAGCCTTGGACGTCGTATAAAGAAACAAGTGACTGCGCGCTTATCGCTTTAATTTATAAGTTCGGCAAACTACGTAATTATAGGAATGTGCATCAAATTTTTATTATAAGCCTTATCAATTTCTTTCTTATCTAGATTATACGAGAACGTAATAAACTTGATCAAGCAAAGAGCATCTCAACAGAGCGTAGATCACCCCAAGCTTTAACTACTGGAATTGTTGGAATTGTTTAGACATTCATATATGCATTGAATAAACATTGTGAAAAGATTCACCTATTCGCCTGCCCATTATTAGCTACTACCCTTCGCGCTCCTACCTTCACTCATCATGCATTTCTGTTTACGCCTTCTCAGTTATGATTTTACTCAATTTTATCAATGACTCCACTGCGATACGCACGACTGGTTCAAATCCTTCATATAACAGCTGAGTTTGCTGACTTACTCATGCAACAAAACGTGAGCTCCTTCTGATAAACTGGTCAACTACGTTGCGACCTGTTAAAAACCTTTAAGAGTTCACCTGAGGCCCCGGCACGAGATCTCCGGTTGAATCTTACGAGAGCGAATACCCGCTTAAGAATCCAGGATATTACGAAGTTCCCTTGTAACCTGTACAAACGCTTGCCATCAAGACAAGCACTGCAGTGCCGTGTACTTGGAGCCCGTTTTCTTCATTAAGGAAAAACCAATTTGGGGTCCTAGCAAGAAAAAGAGAAAGTGCTGTGATCTGTTTATTGTGCTGTAAGTTGGGTCAGGGGTGCACAAGAAGGTTTGCTAAAAAAGCGTTAAATTATGAAAAGCAAAAAAGTGTTTGCTAATCGGAGACCTGAGGTCTCCCGTAGATCATCGCCGGAGACATAAATCTCAAAAAGGTACATTGAATTTTCTAATCTTCCAAGATTTTTCAAACGTCTTCTACTCATTGTTGCGCATCTTTACCCCAATTTTGGTGGCTGTTCATTGCCTTTCACTTAGAAAAAAGGGTTTATCTAAATTTTTCGAAACTCCTTTAAATATTCCGGCAAACACCCGCATTGAAGCGGATTGAATCTTTGTTGGAGTAGATTATTACAACGGTCTTTCAGATGTAAGGAATTATTCCGAATTAAGTATTTAATAAGACGAAAATACTCAGGACGATGCATGAACATCTGCGCTAGGAAAGAGAGTGTGGGGAGGATGGAGTTTCAAACTTTTTTCACAACATTCTTGTTGAAAAAAGCGGCCATAATTAGAGTTTAACTGTAGGCTCCTCTCCGGACCCAACAAGGTTACGCCTTTGCTTTTTCCACAAAAACCAATTCCAGCTCGCCCTCCGAAGGCCTGCCGTGAGGTCTGGTTCACCTGTTCGTTCTTCGCATTATTTATCATATAAAAGTTAGCCGGTCACAAAACGTAATTTTTTCTAGTATCTGAAATGTGTTCGGCAAATTTCCATCAGAACCTCTCAACAAATGATAAAATGAAAAGTTCTCTGAGTGTCCCACTGCTCAAATCCCTGCTGCATAAAAATAGCTGAGTTCAGTGTTCCTGGAAGGTGTAGAACGTCCAGCTGGTTCAATCACCAAGTGGTTCCGTTCCCTGATCCACATAGGTGCCAGTGAAAGCTTGGCAAAGTCTGGCAAGGCTGCAGAGTTCGGGAAAAAAATTGTTTGCTTGTACAGCATGTAAAAGGAAAATAAGCCCTGCCTTGGCAGAAAGTGCCTCAGTGCCTCCAACAAGGATCTTGGGACGAATTTCGATAGGCACAGGACCTACTAGAGAGAGGGCACTGAGGCAGGATCCGACCGCATCACATCTCGAGCTGGTAGCCAACAACAGTTGCAGAACAGCTTTACAGAAGTTCTTCGAAGGTGCAGACAATCACAACTTGAAGCACAGGAAAGAAGTCTAAAGAAAGCGCAGGGACCTTCTCGATGCCGTCTTCCGGCGATAACATTACTAAACAAAAACGGAATTGCACATCTTCCCGATAGAAGATGGAATCAATCACGAGGAGTTGCGCCAATATCTTCCGCTCATCAACCCCGTGTCAATCTCTTTACCCCGCTGGGTAGTACCACCACGAATTCTATCCTGCTGAAGTACGTGCCGTAATACAGATCATGAAGGTAGCCACGGTTCCGGGGTCCAACTATTTTTCGTCCCGCCTGTGACGTGCTGGAGACATCGCCTACTTGAGATACTTGCGGCACCCCAAAGTCTTATCTTAAAAGGAAAGGATCCAACCAGAGGAGAACATCCTGAACAATCGCCTTATTACGGAACTCCGTCCAATATGCCTGCTGAGCGTGCTTTATAAGCTCTACGAGTTTGTTCTCACTCGCAAATTGAGGACACGGGATAAAGCCCAACCTGTAGAAGTTGGATTTTGCAATTCAGCTGCGTGGTTCACTTCCAGGCGACTATCGAGGTTTGCCGATTGTACCGCCTACCACTGCTACCTAACCTGTAGAAGTTGGATTTTGCAAGGAATTCGGCTGCTGGTTCATATCCAGGCGATTTCGAGGACTATTGAGGTTTGCCGACTATGCCGCCTACCACTCGTCCTCCTTCGCCGACTATGAGAAAGCGTTTAATAGCGTCTGACTAATGTCATACTCACGTGACGAGATCGGCCAACTGCTACAAATGCTCTATAACGGTATACCTGTTCCATTGCCCCTTTAGTGTATCATTTTCGAAGCGGATTCAATAAGGCGACATCATATCGCCAAAGCCATTTAGCCGCCTTAGAGTGGGTGATGAAATCACTGGGTTGGAGCGAGTATTATCGAGTTGACGGGAGATTCCTCTCAAACTTTCGTTTTGCGGGCGTCATTGTTCTCATCTCCAGGAATTCACTAAAGCGGAGACGACGTTGAAAGAACCAAGAAGTAGGGAAGCGGATAGGATGCGAAACAACCAAAAGAAGACTCACTTCGTGAAGAACGCTTTTTGAGAAGATCAAGAAATGGAATTGGTCTCCAGTCGTGGAGACGTCTTCTTAGTATAATTCGGGCATTCGCTGAGCATGGAGAACAGTCCGAAAGAAGAAGTAAACTAGAGGCAAAGACCGCTTGGTCGGGATAGGGTCCCTCAAGCAGGCCATAGTCCAGCTGACTGACCCAGAACTCAAGCCCACCTGTCGCTCCAACCGTTCTCCCTGCGCTCTGTTACGCAGCAGAGACGTGGCCTAACACTGTGGGTACGTCAAAGGCACTCCGAACAACCCAAAGAGCGCTGGACGACGTTTCTGAAGCACAACCGCCACTCGTCGAACTTCGCAGTTCATAATGAGAACAATGCCTCGTCTTCACGATCCAGCGGATTGTCTTTAAGTGAAACATTGATGGGGTGATCATATAATGAGAGGATAGACGACAGATGGACAGTGAGAACTCTGGAATGGATCCCTCGCGAAGCAAAACGTCTTCGAAGGACACCGGCATAATTAGCTGGGATGTTCGTTGCACGATCAGCCAGCTGGCAACAGGTAATGGATCTGGACCTCGCGAACGTTGCCACCGCAGTTCAATACCGTCGTGGATGAGGTTAGCGAGAGAAAGATACAGATGGAAACAATGCTGGGGCCTACATGACGAGTGAAGACAGGCCAACTAAGTATCTAAGTAAGTAAAGAGGCGTAGTCATTTAAAACCCGTTTGTTGCTTCTTTAACTCTGAAAGTAGCACAAATGCCTTTTGGTTTCTTTTTTTCTATGCTTATTAATGTATAATTAAACAAGATTATGAGATTAGAAAACTCATTAAAATTTTATTTTACCAATTGCGTTTGCTTCTCATGGGTTACCTTCCCCATTTTAAGTCATGAAATAGCTCTGATTTCTAATGTCGTTTGTGCACAAATCGTTAAACCATCTCTTTTTTGGTAGCTTAGTGCTTCATCACCTCATGCCCGTCGATGTAGATTTCGATGACAGTTACAGACTTCCCAAAAAGCATTATATGTCTTGTCGCCTCTAAGCGATTGTGGTAGATGTCCCCACTGTAGGATGAGTTATCCGCTGACAACCAGATCTAGTCCCACGGCATCGAAGGCTTCATGATTGAAAATGAAAGAAAAATATATAGACGATGTCCGTAGGTAAACCTCGGCTATTCTTCCATAAATAAATATCTCTACATTTGAAGCAATAAATATTCAGCAAAGTTGTTGCCTGAGACTGAGTTGCCAAGGAAAGCAGCGGATTTCGTTTTGAAATTATTCTGTCTCTGCTCATGCTCTTTGAGAGCGTTATTCTACCTGCTAATTAAATTTCAACTTTCATGTACTCATTCACTAGGTAAACACATGCTGCTATTGAGGTATTACTAACACAAACCACAGTCTAGTTTTCAATGGCTAGCTTGCAATGTTGGCAATTAACAATTGCAATTGTATAAATAGATGCGCTGGCTCTATATACAGCCGAAAATGCTATTTTCATTGTAATTCCACAGAAAACAGATCATTATGGCGTAATTAAAGGTCTCTCTCAATAGCGATTTGACTTTCTTATAAGTGGTCCGATAACATGAGTAGGCCCTTTTTTTATATGTGAAACGTTGTTTTACAAGGAAGTCTGTGTCACTTTGGATCGGTGTGTTTTTCTAACGTAACAACTTCTAGCAATTTCTATGTCAGCAAATTTTGTGCAGTCTTTCTACACATAGTAATTTTGATTCTTTGGCCCGTAGTAAACTTCCCGTCAAGTGAGATGATCTGAACTGACGGGGCTAGTCCAACTCCACCGAGTTCACATGATCACGATCCCTCCGCCAT